CGCTCCCTGGGGCTAGACCAGGATTTCAGCGAGAGAGACAGGTGTGTTTGGGGGAGAGAGGGGAAATGTAATTATTTATTTATTTTTATGATTTATGGCACCTCAGGATAATCTACTTACTCACTCCTCATCATTGTCATTTCATGTCCTACTCTTTCCTCTGCTTTTATTGGCAGTTTATATATGAGACGTCCATGGTTTGGTAAAAGCTTACTGATCTTACTCCTGTATAGTCGACAAGACTAGCTGCATCCTTATTTACAGTGATTTGCAAGGAAAGTGGAAAAGTTCTCTCTTGCAAGAATAAACCTGTTATATATAGGTTTGTACACTTTTGTAGGAGTGGTGCAAAGTGTTAAGTCCACAGCATCACTGGAATTAGCTGTGCAGAATTAGATAAGTTATCATGTCTTTATCCTTTCATTCTGCAGGTTGTTTTTTTTATGCCTGATAATGTTATTTCATATGTCCTTTATGGTTATTACATTACTTTCTCTTTCTTCATGCAGTTCTTTTCTGAAGCTTTGATGTCTTTATCTTCCTCTCCTATTCCCTTTTTCTGTTATTTTTGGGGTAGTTTATGTTCAAGAGGGACTCCAAAATACCAAAAACTTTTGTGTTATTTTATATTATTATATATTATGATAAATTTGCTATACTATTTTAGCGAACAGTATATGTCCAACATGAGGGCTACTATCAGCAGCACAGTTAGATAAAGATTAAAATGATTAGAAATGAAAAAAAAATCTTTGATATAATGAATGATAAGAGTTATGCATAGGCCCTAGGGAAAACATTTACCAGATTTTTTGTTTTAGGATTTATTGTTATATTTAGAGAAAGTAAGCTTAATCTCTTGAATGCAAGTTCCCCGCAGAAAAGACCTCAGGATTCATGATAGAATCCAGAGGTTGCTCATGGTCCAATGTCGCTTTGGAAAAAACATTATTTGTAAACTCATGTATTAATCTTGTTGGACCGGCAACTCATCTAAATCGGTACATCATCTTAAGGTGAGATGTCACACAGGACACATTTAGGACACATAAAGCATCATCCTGACAGCGACAATAAGAAAACAGGGCACTCTGGTTTATGCCAGATTGCCACTATATGGAAAGGGTTGAATTCATTAGGCTTGCTTAATATTAGATAGGAATTGGTTCGATTAGGTTACTTCAAGTCATGGTAAATTAGTGTAGGTGACTAAGTTTGGTTTTATTGTTTTACAATGAGCATTGTAGGTAAAGCTACATTATGTTATAATGGTGAGGCAGCATTGCAGCACATTAAAATTAGTATTTTCATTTTAGAATTTGTGTAAGGAAAAACAACAATTACAATCTTTTGTGAGAATTTTGTCCATGCACTTGATAATCTTGATAGATAAGATGCTATGCTAAATATGCAATCATTGTAATGGAAGTATATTTTGATAAAAAAAAAAAAAAAGTAAATGAATTCTATAGGTTAATCTTTCAGTCTAGTCATAAAAGGTCCATGTCACTTATACTAAGAATTTTGTTTTTGATAGATTGCTGATGATGCTTGACATACATCTATAATATTTTTAGTCATCGAAACTATAAAAAAAAAAGAAATGGTATTAGTGAGCAATAGAGTGTTACAGCATTGAGCAATAGCTATGCCCTTAATTTCCTCTGGTACTCAGGCTAATACCCCCCTCCCCCCTCACTAAGTACATTATGGTAAGATGGAACTTAGAAACTTCGCTAAAAATAGCAGTCCAAGCTGTAATCTTGCCAAAATACTTGCACTAAAGGTTTGATGGCCTTAGCCAGAGCATGGATGGCACAAAGGCTGCAGCAGCTCCTTGAAGCTGTGCCACTGTTTTATTTGTCAATGGCTGATGATTTGCTGGCTTTCATGGAACCTTGACATGATATCCACAGTTTCACTTGTAAACTTTATATCAGTACCATCCTCAGCCATTGGAGCCTTTTTTTTCCACACACTAGGCCCATCTCAAAAGCAAAAAATGTCGTAAGTAATCCACTGAAATTCAAATTATTGGTGGATCTCATCAGAATTTATTTTAACTTGATATTTGTTATCATTGCTTGCCCATAAAATAAGCCTTGTTGATATTGGTGTAGAAAAGACTTTAGGATATCCAGTTTCATCTTGTTTATTTTGTAATGTGTGACTTTAGAATTATTTGAACTAATTATACAAGGGGAACATTATTATTATGATGATTTTATGAAAGAAAGGTAACAGAATGATTATTAGGATAGCAAGAAACTGCCAATAATGTGAAAAATATAGGTATAGTTTTTTTATTAATTTTTTTTTTTTTTTACAGTTATGGTCAAGATCCTCTGTGGCTGGTCAGCAACACCCTCCAGTTGAATATTCAGTCGGAGGATGACGTTGGTGAGACCGTGATTTTAGCCGATTCTGAGGTTGTCAGTGAAGGAGGGATGCTGGAGAGTGATGCCTTGCTTCTGCTGAATGACTCTGTCAACTTTCTGCCAATTTCGGAGGGCCTTCCTTCTTCAGATAAGTTGCTGGTGTGTGTAGCAAGATTCATTGTTTTATTAAAAATTTTATTGATGATTATTAAGGAGTAATTTCTTTGTTCCTGATAATAGCATCTTCAGCAATGATTGGCAAATAGGTTATTAATGATCAGAGGAGTGTGAGTATTAGGAAATACCTATTAATTATGTATAATGTAATGTTACAAGACACTTTTCCCCCCCCTTTTTTTGTGTGTGTGTGTGTGTGTGTAATGCGTGCATGTGTGTGTACGTGCGTGCGTGCGTGCATGCGTGCGTGCATGCGTGCATGTGTGCGTGCGTGCGTGCATGCGTGCGTGCGTGCATGTGTGTGTGTGTGTGTGTGTGTGTCTGTGTGTGTGTGTGTGTGTGTGTGTGTGTGTGTGTGTGTGTGTGTGTGTGTGTGTGTGTGTGTGTGTGTGTGTGTGTGTGTGTGTGTGTGTGTGTGTGCATGGGTGTGTGTGTTTATTTGTGTGTTTATTAAAAAAAAAAAAAACTAAAATTATGTTTAAACTCTTATTGGTAAGAAATTATTTGTATGATTATATGATTAAAAAGGCTATTTGTTTATGGAAGTTACTGCCATTTCAGGAAAGCATTAATGAGAGGCAGCCAAGCAAAATGGCAACCCCAGTGAAGAAATACTCAGTGAAGCCCCCCAGCAGGGCCAGCCACACTGACTACAGCTCGAGGGAAAGGAGTAAGACCAACTTCCCCTCGAGAAGCTCCCAAAGATGTACTCTAAGGGCACGCAGGGGAACAGGCACCCATTGTCAGTGCGGTATCAATGACCAGTCCCGCGTCAGGAGCCATGAAAGAAAAGACATTGGTTTTGGGGAAAGAGAATGCGACTCTAATCAAGAACCATCAGGGGATTGGCACAGTTGTACCCAGTGCCACCTCCAGAACTGTGCCAAAGGTCGACAGCACCATTATACTACAGCAAGAGGAGGGAGTCCGCCGAGACCCAACCATGAAATTCAAGCTTGTTGATAGCTCCAAGTCCTCAGTGGATGAAGATGACCAGTACGAAGAGCCATTTGTAGGGCCCTCTCTCCGGTGGCCCTCCCAGCCCAGGAGCTATCGTGGGGCCAAACAGAGGCGGGGGCGTCATAAGGAAGAATGTCAGAAAGGTCTGTGCTGTGGATTCCTCCAATATGTTCAGATTTATAGCTGAAGTTGAGATTTAGATTAAGTTCAAGTTAATTCTGACAAGATTTGTCTTTTTGTTTGTCTATATATATGTGTATACATGTGTGTTTTTAAGTTGATTTTTATATACTGTTATATTGCTGGTTGTACTCATGAGAATATGAATACTTTTCCCTTCAAAAATAAAAAAGAGCCGATGTGGTAATATACATGATTTAAAGGAAAATGATTTTTGTCAATCTGTTCAAGTCCCAGTGCTTTTTACATTTATTTTTTATTATTTAATGTCTCTGTAGTATTCCTCTTCCAGCATTGACAGCTCTATTTTATTGTTTCCTCACTCTATCATAGATAATCCCAGGAGTGGACACGGATGGGGAAACAAGTGGCATGGGCTCCTCAGTTGACGAGCCTATTGAGTCATCAACTGAGTCTGCCTCAGAAGCTCCTGTTGTGACCCCATCTTTCCTGCAGCCCCGACCTTCCTCTTCTTCCTCCAGGGGACCGTCAACCTCACCAGTAGCCGTGAAGGTGAGTGACATGAGGCGGAAGTTTTTTCAGGTTGTTCAGGTTTTGTTCTTGTGCACTTAGTCATGATCATGCTGACTATTTTTTTAGGATTTTATATATAATATACAGTATCTGTGAGAGCTGTTCCAAGACACTGCTGTTGATAAGATATTAGGCTTTTGTTTTTACATTTAAGGAATGTGAGTTTGTTTGGAAACAAGCCTCCTATTAGCAAAAACAATGTCTTGAATGACTGTACATTTACAGATAACAATCAGACAAAATTAGCTTTACAGTAATAGGAAAAGCACCACTAAGGATATTTTCATTGTACATTTAGACTATTAATGTTTCACACCAGGTTATTCAAGTCTCTTGTGATCATGTCAGAAAGAAATACAGTAGCAGGAGGCTTTAGTAGATGCAGTGCAGGTATATTTTTTAACTGTACACTATGGATTTTTTTTTCTCGTGTTCCCTTGTTCCCTTGATCTGTGCCATTTTGCATCTCATCATATAACAGCACGATTATTTACCACAAATTGGTAACACTAACTACACATAAAAGTGCATGATGGCCTTCGTGGGGAAGGGTTAGGTGGGATTGCCGACAAGGGAACTGATGTTTACAATGGAAAATGATATTAGATTTATTCTAATCACATGAAAATACTAATGAAAACATACATATTGTCTATGAAAGCCATGATCATATTTTTATTGAATAGGTCTTCATTGTGCAGTATTATCATGTATGATTACCTATTTGCAGAATGTTATTGAATTTGATGGATATGCATTTTATTTATCTCATCTTTTTTTTCCTTTCTTTCTTTCTTTTTATGGTTGGTTCTCTTTTTTCTTCTTCTTCTTTGATTGATGGGTTCAGTATTACATGCATTATACATATAATGAAAAAAATTAAAATCTCCGTATTTTTGAATGCAGAAAAGGAGAGGAGGATGGCCCAAGGGTCGCAAGCGGAAACCAGAAATTCCCGGCGTCAAGCCTCCCAAGGCACCTCTGACAGCGTATGTCCTGTTCCTTAATGAGCGTCGTAAATATTACAAGGAGACACGACCAGAGCTTAGCTTTGGGGCTGTAAGTATTGATTAACATATGCTTAGAGTTATGTGTATTTGATATGCTTGTTTCTTTAGGGACTAGAGTACGCAGTTGATGCAATTGCTAACCACATGCCAACGGGGAGGGCATGTGCAAACATGCCATGCCCACTGTGTGTTTGATTTAGTAATTGTTTTGACATATAGATGGCTCTACAAGTACTAGGTTACCAACCAACCTGCTACAAGAAGTACTTGTGTTACATCTTTACCCTTTTTCTTGATTTTTGATATTATTTTCTAGTATTTAATACTGCTGTTAGTAATGTCTGTAACAAGGTAGTGATTATAATGTTTATTAAAAAAAAATAACACTATCAAAATTGATAGCTAAAGTAAAAAAAGCTTTTTCCTGCTATTTCAAGGAAAGGTGAGGTCACAAGTTCTACTAATTGACTTCTTTGTGGATAAGCACTGGCTGAGCCTTCTGTGTGCAGAAACATTTAACAAAATGCTAAAGTCAATGCAACCTTTTTCTGGTGGCATTGGGTTAATTTGGTGTCAGTATTTGTTCCCACATTCTGGTTATGAAATCAAAATTGGTGAACAAGGGCAATATTTAGCCCAAAGTGGATGGGCTGCCTGGGCCACTAAGTTTGCTAAATCATGGGCATGCTACCATATAGTATAAATTTTGAGGCTGCACAGTGCTCTAATTGTAATTTCAGTCATTGTTTGCCTTGTATCTTTTCCCAGGAGTGTCATTTGTAAAAGTGGAGTTAGATAAAGAGTTTTCATTCAAATTTAGTAGGCTCAGTCTCTGCATGCATGACACGTGGCTTTTCCACAATGTATTATGCACCTTGAAGAGCAAAGTCTAAGCCATGTAGTGTCATTGCATTGTTGAACCTTGTGAGAGCCAAAACTTTGACTGTCAGTATCGTGTCTACACCCACCCACAAAGGGTTAAGCAAGCCTTTTTCAGTATTTCCTAAAGAACAACCCACCTAGGATAACTATGATATATTTATCTTTTGTTTGAGATCGTAAAATTTCACATTGTATGTCAACATGTCCAAGTTAAAGAAAATATGAATTGTGAAGTCAGTCATGTATTTCATCATACTCTGCTTCAGCTTCAGAAGAGATGTAATCCAGATATATAGAACAATCCTCTCTTCCAATTGACTTCAATGGTCATGTCATTCCAGGTCACAAAGCTTCTAGGAGCCGAGTGGTCATCTCTCACCCCTGAACAGAAGGCTGCCTTCGTGACTCGTTCTGAGCAGGACAAGCGACGCTACCGCAACGAGCTGCAGGCCTATCGGCAATCTCATGATTACCAGTTGCTTCTGCGGAAAAAGAGGATAAAGAGTAAGATTTCAGAAATTGATCTCAAGTTCATTGATGGCTTTTTATTCTTACACTTTCTAATGACCTTTGATATCTAGCACATTTATATGTTTAAATATTAAACTTTAAACTTTATAATGGAAGAGGATTAAAAGCATGAATTTCCAAGGGAATCTGTTTGTTTGTCTTTATTATTATTTTTGTTATAATTCATTTTTTTATGTGTGTATGTGTGCGCACGTGCATGCGTGCCCATTTGTGTCTGATATCTTCTGTGATAACAGTGTTTATAGTTACAATATAAGAACATAATCATGTTTTCTAACTGTGTTATTTTTGTTGTTTAGATGTTATCAAGCGAGGAGGGACAACAACAGAGGAATCATCCGACTTTACAGATGAAATTGATGTAAGTAGGAAATCATTATTAAGTGCAGTATATAAAATGAAAAAATGTAAATAGGAAATATAAGATAAGATTTAAGTAGGAAGCAGTTATATATTTAAAGAATGAAATTATAATAAGTAAATAGTATCATATGTAGTAGCAGTAAACTTGTAAAGGGAATGTAAAACAAAATATAGAATTAGTTATTACATGAACCTACACATCAGCATCTCAGAAGTGAAATGGCAGATGAGCAATATTAGGGGTTTTATACAAATAATTAGTGTTATAGCCAATTCTGGTCTTTCAGGTATTAGGGCAATTTTTTCATTATTTTTCTAATATCATGACATGACGTTTTCTTCTAGTCTCTTGTGTTTTATTTATAAGAATGGTATTCTCATTAAAAAACTTTAATTCTGTATTCAGGACGACGATAGTGAAGAGCTTTATTGTAGAATCTGTGACCAGCTGTTCACATCTCTACATAACAAGCGAGAACATCTCTATGGGAAGCAACACCTGCAGGTACGAAAGCTTTTCCATTTGACGCTTTTGACATTAACCAAAGATGCATGCAGACACATTCATGCGTGCACTCACACTCACACTTACGCATGCACACGCACACGCACACGCACACACACACACACACACACACACACACACACACACACACACACACACACACACACACACACACACACACACACACACACACACACACACACACACTCACACTCAATCAATCACACTTATACTCATACTCACTCACTCACTCAGTCACACTCACTTACGTTAGTAATGGAACATGCAATAGCCCTTAGTTATATAAAGTTACGCATATAGATTAATTCTGTATATTTGCCTCCCATAGGCCATTACAGGTGAATACCAACGTGAAAGGCTTGCTGAAGAGGAACGTCAGATGGCAGCAACTGGAGTGTCGCAGGGAAGGACGGGAGACTGCCTCAACTGTGGCTCACTCATTACAACTCATGGGGCAAGTTCTCGAGCAGGTAAGAGAAAGGCCATTAGTGTCTTGATTTATTGTTTGTTTGATTTTTTTCCTATTTTTTTTAGTAGCGTGTACTCTCCCACTTGAGATTACGTTGTTTCACGAATCATTATTGTTATTATTATTATTTTTTTTTTTACTTTTGTTTATTGATTGATTGATTTATTTATTTATCAGTTAGCATATAGACTGCCTTCTAATTTCAATGATGAGTACAGATCCAGAACACTTTTGATCTCAAATACCAACAAAATTTGGGTAATGAAAAATAAAACTTTTCTTCTGCTCTTCAATTAAAAATTTCAGTGACAAGTACAAAAAAAATTCTTCTTTGTTACTAGGCCTGAGACAACTTCCGCCAGGCGTGTGTCCCACCTGCAGTTTCTCCGGCCCAACAACAAATCTCACTGGCACCAAGACCTCTCCTAGCCCCACATGGAGGAGGAGGAGCATGACGGAGATGAAGAGGATGAGGAAGAGGAGGAAGAAGAGGAAGAGGAGGAGGAAGAGGCCGATGCAGATGAAGAAGGAGAGGTACAGAGGAAGAAGGGAATGCCAGCAGGATGTGCAGCATGGCAGACGCCCTGGAGGGTGTGATGGCCAAGATGCTGGGTGAGAGCAGTTGTTATTATTAGAATGATTATCAGTAGACTGAAGATTATGCTCTGAAAATTGTTTGGAGAATAATATCTTAATGAAATTGTATGAATTTTATTTGCTTCCGGATTATTTTCTCTCTCTTTTACTATATTTGGTTATATTACCAATATTTTCTTTAACCATTTGTTTGCCTTTCATTGTTTGGTCTATAGAACGAGAGCAAGAGATCAAGGCGCTAAGCAGAGCAGTGAAGATGCCCGTGCGCAGAATCTTCAGTTGGCCACAGCACTCCTACAGTTGCGTGAACAGGAGCAGCAGCTGGACCAGGACCAGGAGGGTCTGCAGGAGGAGAATAACAAGCTGAAGGCTGAAGCTGATGCACTCTGGATGCTGCCAGCACTGTTTGGGGTGACGCCGCTTGACATGGTGAACATAACACTGCGTCAAGACCAAGAAGAGGAGGAAGAGGAGGGCGGCCTGCACCTGCTGGACAATACCTAGACCAGAGTTCAATGTTTAGATCGTATATTTATCAAAAATATATATATATATTTTTGTGTGTGTGTATTTAGAAAGTAAAGGAGTATGGCAATGATCAGAATAGCATTCTTTGAATTTCAATCTGTGTAAATTTGAATACTGTTTTATGTTGTTTATTTTTATTTTTTTTCTGTTTGTATTTCCTGTGATTGACATGGTCTGCTATTATTATATAAACTGTTGAATCATGTCACTAGTAAAAATTGAATATGTAAATGCATTGATGTATATAGAGGTCATTTTTGAGTGAAATGTTGTTGTTTTTTGAGTTATTATTATATCCATATAGAAAGGGAACATGCTTTAAGTTTTGTGATGTTATATAATTTATAAAATGCCTATGCATTGTATGTGATGAACATGGAGAGTAGTTAGTGTTGACATTGTATATATTTAAACAATATAGGCATTATTTTGAAGATTTTTTGACTTTGATATATATCAGCATTACTTTCCTTGATCCAAAGGAAAGTTTAGTTTGTGAATATAGAAGTTATTGTTGTTCCTTCTCCCTCTCCCCAGCAATATAATGCTCTCAGTTGTAGAATAGCGCTGTGGCAACTAGCTTGTGATATGAATATGTAATTGTATTTCTCTCTGTTAGGCATGGACTTGCCACCAACCACACACACAAATACAGTGATTAAAGACAAACGGTACGAAAATCTTCCTCCTCCTTTTAAGCATGAATAATAAGCTTCTAACGAAAACTGACTTGCCAAGCCCTTACCAAATATTCCCAAAGAGATTCTACTCTTTAGATAGTTCACACAACCATGAATAGTTTAATTTCAGCAGAATGATCTACAGAATGGCAACCTACCATTCATCATATACATTCATTATTGAG